GGTGAATAGTAATCCTCATGGGGAGAGGTGGAGTCCTAAGAATCCACATCCTGATGCACCTCAACTAGCCAAGTAAGCCTCGCATCCTCCGTGTTCAGCCGATCAAGCTCTTCCCAAATGATGACAATGCGCCTATCCTTATCGTGAAAGGTGTGGCATATTGCGTCCAACTCCCTTTTGTGGTTAGCGCGAGTTAAAGCCACGACCTCTTTCAACTTCGCTAACCCCTCTTTTGCTCTTTGGAGTAGTTCAAAAAGTGCAGCCTGACCCTAAAAATTAGGATATGGCTCCTGGAAAAGAAAGGTCATCAGGAAGAAAAGCTGCAAGGGGGAAACCACAAGTACCCGTTAGTGACGTAAACATCCAAGCCAATAAATGCAACAAGCCTAAGGAAAGGAACAAACCTTGCTCTGATCCGCAACCGCTTGGGTTACCAGAGTGACCCGACTCTGCTACTTATACTATTCCCAGATAGAACCAAGAACATAGTCAAAAAGGGTGCCCAATGAAACTCAAAGATGATCTAGGGGCTCCCTCATTGCTTGTAGAGGGTCCATGCCATGCCTTTGGTAACTAAGGAAGGCGAGCCTTTTAACAAACATTCGAGGCCTTCTTCTACTCCTCCTAGCCCTTCTATCCTCAAAGAGCTTGATCATTAGGGCCTTTCCCCAATCAACGACACCGCCTGGAGTGCCCACCTCTTGGCAATTGTGAAGCCACCCAATAACAAGAACCACATTTGAGGGCCCAGCCTAGTCAGAATGATTCAGCCAAGACGTAGCTCATCGCCATTGTCCGCAAGCCGCAAGGAGGGATTCTACTGCCATCTCCTTCTTTTCCATCATAGGTATAGAGGCTGTTAGAAGATGACATTTGCATGAAAATGAAACTTCAGTTAGATAGTGAAACACAAAAGAATGATAACAATGATAAAACCAGGCAAAAAAGGTATACCAACCTTGCCTAATAATCTCCGGTGTCTCGACAAAGGTTATAAAGCAAGAAGAGGCAAGTAACTTTCTAAAAATGAAGAAGCAAAAGCGATGGAGATAATAGCCCTAAATGAAATGACCATATTTATAATGGAGAGGAAGGCAAACCATTCACCATCATCATTATCATCGTTTCATTGTACCTGCAGAAGAGGTATAGGCGTCTCCTCGTTCCTTCCAACTGCTATCATTTCCAACATATCCATACGCATGGGGAAGGTAAATAGATGCGCAATCATTCATTGTGCTGCCAAAGAGTTAAGTGAAAAGGCTTGTGATGTGACCAAATGGGGCAAGTGAAAAGGTGTCAAAGGTGACACATCACATAGACGCAACAGATCCGATAAGATAGATTTAGCTTGCCAAAGCCATTAGACGCTGAAGCTTGCAATCCATCTGACGCGAAGTGTAACACCCACATCAAGGTACATAATTTTATTTATGCCCTAATACCGTTAGTTGAATTTCTTTGAAGTTACCTTAGATAAATGTGGAGGAAATTCCTTAAATTTTCATTGGGGGTAAAATGGGTTTTTTACTCCTAATTAGATGAAAAAAATGTGTGTGTATATTATGATATATATATATATATATTAATATATTATATATAATTATATACTATAATATATAATATTATATATTATTTATTATTTATTTATTTATTTATTTAGTTATAAGGTTGCAATAACCTAAACCCTAGCCATTCTAACCCTTATTCACATCACCCTTTACCCCCATTTTCTTTCAATTTTCTTCACTAAATTTCAAAGAGAAATCATAGGATTTGGCTTGGATTTTTATAGGTTTTCAATCCTAAAGCATCCAAAGGTAAGATTCTAGCACAAGGAGTGTGACTAAACTTTAAAGTTTTAAATTCTTTTGGTTTTTATATGATCTAGGTCAAGAGGAAGAGACTTTTAGCAAAAAGAGGTGATATCACACATTCAAGGTAAGTAAACCAAATTTGAGCCTTGATTTGAGCAAGATTTGTGTAGCATGAATTCTTGCATGTTTGTATGTGGTTGTATGTGAGAAGTATTGGCTGTTTTTAATGTTTAATGATGCATAATTTCCAGCCATGAGAAGTAGTATATGAGTATGTGATGAATTGGTGGAATTATGGAAGAATTAGTGATGAAATTTTGAAGTGTAGAGAATTGTTGAAATCGACCAGGTTTGATACTAAAGTTAGTGAGTTTTGGGCTCACATTTTGGTGGAATTAAAGAGATGTGGAAGTGTAGCCAATATGCTACTTGCATGTGCATATGAAGTGATTGATGAAAATCCAAAGAGAAAATGCATGCATGAGTTGGTTAAACCCTATTGAAGAAAGGGTTAGAGAAAGGCAAGAATTGAAGTAGGAAGATTATGTTGGGCTTAACCAAGTGTAAATGTTAGTGTTCAAGGGTACATATTGTTATGCAAAAATTTAGAATATCACTTGGTCATGTTAGTTCCGTGAGAGAAATGGCCCTTAGTGTTTGATTTTAGTTACTTGAACCTTTTACTACTTCTGAAAAGCACATGGAAGTGTTAGGGAAGAATTGCAAGTTAAAGTGTTACTTTGATATGGCAATTGTGATAGTAAAGAATGGTAGAATATGTCATGACATACCATTATGCCATAATGAATTTTCAAGTTTGTATATGTGAACGTGGAAAGTATATTAAAGAATGGGCTTGATCATGCATATATTGTGCACATGATTTATATATAGCCTTGATTTAGTAAATGAGAATATAAAAGAATATGTTAGCAAAGAATGAGAAAAAGAAAGAAAAGAGAATGGCTTGTAGTTTTCTTTTAAGCTAACATGCAAGTATGTAAATTTTCTCACTTACTAAAGAATGCAAGCATAGAATTTCCATAGCTTGGAAATTCATGTTGAAATGTGTATAGTATCTCTTTCTATTCTCTTTCTACAACATGCTACGTTATAAGGTTGTTGCGATGGGGAACCCGTGAGTGACAGAGATGCCCACATGCACGCCGCCGTCAGTGAGAGACATCAGCATAGAGATACAATATTTGTACAGTCTGTTAGTAATGTATGTCGATGAAGACTGTACCTAGCAAAGCATACCTACATGCACGTCGCCATCAGTGAGCGGCCACAACAGAGAGATACAACATTTGTACAGTCCGTCAGCAGTGCATGTAGATGACTATTGTACCCACTCACATGGCCAAGGTTCCAAATCCATGCATCAACCTAGTCCGATCAGCAAACCAGAATAGAAGAAAGAAAAGAAAGAGAAACAGAGAAGAAAAGAAAGAGACACAACATAAGAGATAGATAACAGAAAAGAAAGTTCTTTACTCAGGAAAGTTTATTATTCTGCATATGTATTATGCTACTTAAATGAGTCAGTATTTCTTATGTGCTCAACGATGTACAGTTTTATTCATTGTCTTTGCACGTCGATAAATAGCAAATTAGAGTATCAGAAAAGAATGCAGAATATCAAAAAAGAATGAAGAATATTATCAAAGATTAAAGTGAGAAAAGGAAAATCAGAACATGAGTAATGGAGGAAAAACAGTTGTGCAGTTTGGTTTACTTACTGAGCAATTAGTGCTCACTCAGTTATTCTACTGTTTTGCAGGTTCTTGATGATTTACGATTGGGTGGGACGTCAAGAAGCACAGGAGTTTGGCGGCACTGTCCAAGACTACCTTGTACTATCAGTTATTTTGTGTATATGTTTATATGAATTAAAATTAAAATTTTCGGATTTTACATTATATACCTTTATGTATATATATGTTTACAAAGTTATTTAGTAGATTTTATCATATATTTCTCAAAGAATTACTAGGTAGAAAGTATATTACACGCAGGTCACTAGAAAAGAGTTTTTGAAGCCCAACACCACCCACCAAAAACTGGGTGGTTAATGTTGTGCCTAATTTCTTAGTGGTTAGATTTGTGCCACGCGTCCTTAAGGTATATCAAAGCCTATCAACCAAGATCATCCCACGTGTCATCCCATCAACGCTTACCTTCTCTCACAAGGTAATTACTGTCATAAGCATGGGTTAGGCTATTATTAGTAGAGCCTAGTCTATCACAAGCATGGAGATTACTGACTCAGATCCTGATTAAAGAGATTATGCACGCGAACAATCCCGTAATACCTAGTCTCAACCACTGCTAGACGGACCAAGTATAAAAGGAGTCCATAGCCTCCATTTCAAGAGAGAATTCCAATCTAGTAAACTTCAAGAGAAAAACACACTCTTCTGTGTAAGAAAGCGTTTTAAGAGAGAAGGTTGCGAGGGCTAAACGTCTTCCATTTAGCTCGTGCACATTTCCTTTGTAACTTCTCTCGGCCCTATAACATATCTAAGCAATAACATAACAATGGATGTAGGCTTGGTCTTTATGCCACTGAACCACTATAAAAATCTCTTTTGTTCTTTACTTTTTTTATGTCATTTTTATCGACCTTGTTGGTTATCAGTAACCACATGCACATCTTACCTGGCCCCTTCTGAGGTCGACTGGGTATCTCTGGTTGGTACGAATTTTTGCATTAATCGTTTGTTATGAAGATATATTGAGGTATTGGAGGATATTAAAAATGAAAATCATAAAACTTAATAAATTCAATCTTTTGTTTGAAAAATAATATTATCGGTTCTTCCACGACTGCAATGGAAATAATTTTGGCAAAAAGTTTAGGCCTTTAGAATTAACAATTACATTTGTGGCCAAGGTTTAAACTTTAATGCCAAAAAAAAAAAAAGAAGATAACTGAGAATGCACAAAACCTTTTTCTATTAGCCTTGTTTGAGACAAACCCACCTTTGCTTATTTAATATCAATCATTGTAATTCAATAAGCTATCCATGCCTCATGCCAAATCTCTTGGTACCACACCAACGTAGCGTAAAATCTCTATACATGGAAAGGCTAAAGGAGCTATAGAGATTTTTCAATTGATGCAAAGGACCGGGCAAAAGCCTTGTTCTATTAGCTTTATTGTGTATTATCTGCCTGCAGCCAGGCTGGCCTAGTTGATGAAGACTGCAATTTTTTTGATAGCATGTGTAAAGAGCATGGTATTGAAGCAAGGATGGAGCATTATGCCTGCATGGTCCTTCTAGGTCATGTTGGAAGACTAGAAGAGGCATATAATATGATTGAGTGAATGCCTTTCGAGTGTTTGGGGAGCTTTGCTTACTTCTTGTAGAGTTCACGGTAATGTGAGTATAGGTGAGGCTGCTGCTAAACATCTCTTTGAACTAGAACCTACAAATTGTGGGAACTACATCCTTCTGTCCAATATATATGCTTCCAAAAGCATGTGGACTGAGGTTGATGCAGTGACAGATATGATGAAAGCTATGGGTTTGAGAAAGAGCCGTGGCTGAAGTTGGATTGAGGTCAAAAACAAAGTGCACATGCTTTTTGCTGGAGATGAATCACATCCTCAAATGGCCCAAATCATGAAGAAGTTAAATAAATTAAACATAAGAAATTGAAAGATTTTACAAAAAAGAAAAAAATAAGAAATAAGAAAATAAATACTAAGAGCAAAGGCAAGAGATGAACGACGAGGGAAACGCGGGAACTGTAGTGTAAGGGCTTGTTTGAGAGATGGCCACGCATCTTTGTTATCACGACAGACCGGGTCGAAGAATGCTATGACCATGGTGGTGTTCGATCCAATTGGCTGACTCTTGTACACAAAACCATCATACTTTGCCAGCGGCAGTGACTGAGGTTGAACGCTCCATTTAGATGAATTGTTTAGAATAAGAAACAATGCCAAAGTTGATTATAATATTGGAGTTGCGCTATTACTTCGCGCATATTTTTGCTCTGTGTTCCTCGACTTCTCTTTGCTGGAATGGACGGCGAGAAACAGAGCTTTATTTATCTATTTATAGTTAAAAATTAATAAATCACATCCTCGTTATTTTTAGCTTTTATTTATTTAACGGTACCCTTTTTTTCGTATTCTCTTGCCTTTTGAGGAAAAAACTTACCATTGCGTGAACAAATCAGAGCCGCGTTTGAAAAATTAGGTTGAACAAATAATGAACTTGACGAAACAAGCTCTTCCTCTCTTTGAAAACATTCAACGCTCAATCTTCCATACCCTCAACTCACTCAAATCATCTCTATCACAGACACAGCAAACGCATGCTCACATTCTCAAAACTGGAATCCTTGCAACAAAGCTTGTGTCTCAATATGCAAATCACCAAGACTTCGATGGCGCAAACCAAATCCTTTCTTCTTCTCTTGAGCCGACAACCTTTTCTTACTCTACTCTTATCTACGCCTACTGGATACAAAATCATTTTACTCAATCACTCCGTGTATTCGCTCAAATGCTCTCTCACGGTCTGGCACCTAATACTTACTTGTTGCCTAATATCCTTAAGGCTTGCACTGGATTGTTGTCATTGGAAACTGGAAAACAAGTTCATGCAATGGTGTTTGTACACGGGTTTTATTTAGATTCGTTTGTTCAGTCTTCTTTGATTCATATGTACGTTCGATGTCAGAAGATTGGGGACGCTCACAAAGTGTTTGATAGATTAGCCCAACCGGATGTGAAAACTTTTAGTGCTCTGCTTGCGGGTTACGCGCGACAAGGGTGCTTGGATGCAGCGAAAAAACTCTTTAACGAGATGGGTCGTTTAAGAGTGGAGCCCGATGTGTTTACTTGGAATGGTGTGATTGCAGGGTTTAATCATAGTGGACATCATGAAGAGGCGGTTCTTTTCTTTCAAAGGATGCATTTTAAAGGATTTACGCCTGAGGAGCATAGTGTTTCTAGTGTTCTTTCTGCTGTGGGTGACTTGGAGAATCCCAAACTTGGGATTCAGATTCATGGTTTTGTGATTAAGGAAGGCTTGTTGGAGAACAAGTGCGTCAGTACTTCAATTATTGATATGTACGGTAAGTGTGTGTGTACATGGAATATGTCCAAAGTGTTTCATGAGATAGAAAATTTGGATGTAGGTGCTTGCAATGCTTTTGTTACGGGTCTCTGTAGGAATGGTCTTGTTGACAATGCATTGGAGGTCTTTAGGCAATTCCATAGCCAAGGAGTGGAATTAAATGTTGTGTCTTGGACGTCAATGATTGCTGGTTTCTCACAAAATGGGAAAGGTATTGAGGCATTGGAACTTTTTAGAGAGATGCAGACAGCTGGGATGCAGCCATACAATGTTACAATACCTTGCTTGCTATCAGCTTGTGGAAGTATTGCAGCATTGATGCTTGGGTAGGCGGCTCATTGCTTTTCTATCAGAAGAGGAATATCTGATGCTATTTCCGTGTCTAGGGCACTAATTGATATGTATGCAAAGTGTGGAAGGATTCAAATGTCTCGACTTTGTTTTGATATGATGTCATCCAAAAACTTGGTTTGTTGGAATGCTATGATGGGTGGATATGCTAGGCATGGAAAGGCTGAAGGAGCTATAGAGATTTTTCATTTGATGCAAAGAAGTGGACAAAAGCCTTGTTCTATTAGCTTCACTTGTGTATTATCTGCCTGCAGCCAGGCTGGCCTAGCTGATGAAGGCTGCAAATTTTTTGATAGCATGTTTAAAGAGCACGGTATTGAAGCAAGGATGGAGCATTATGGTTGCATGGCAACCCTTCTAGGTCATGTTGGAAGGCTAGAAGAGGCATATGACATGATTGAGCGAATGCCTTTAGAGCCAAACGCTTGTGTTTGGGGAGCTTTGCTTAGTTCTTGCAGTGTTCACGGTAATGTGAGTATAGGTGAGGCTGCTGCTAAACATCTTTTTGAACTGGAACCTACAAATTCTGGGAACTACATCCTTCTGTCCTATATATATGCTTCCAAAGGCATGTGGACAGAGGTTGATGCGGTGAGAAATATGATGAAAACTTTGGGTTTGAGGAAGAGCTCTTGCTGTAGTTGGATTGAGGTCAAAAATAAAGTGCACATGCTTCCTGCCGGAGATGAATCACATCCTCAGATGGCCCAAATCATGGAGAAGTTGAATAAATTAAACATGGAGATGAAGAAGTCAAGTTACATTCCACATACTGACTTTGTGCTGTGGGATGTGGAGGAGCAGGATAAGGAGCTGATGTTGTGTGGGCACAGTGAGAAGTTGGCTGTAGTGCTTGGACTTCTTAATACTCCAGCAGGAGCTCCTCTTCAAGTGATTAAGAACCCAAGAATCTGCTTTGATTGCCATGTTGTTATCAAATTTATATCCAGTTTTGAGAGGAGAGACATATTTGTTAGGGACACTAATAGGTTCCATCATTTTAAAGATGGAGTTTGTTCTTGTGGGGATTATTGTTGGAAAAATGTTGTAGCTGACTCACAAATTTAGCATCACTCATTCACGCTTGAAAAGGAGGAAGTGAATTTATGCAATTGAGTCCTTTGGTGATGTAGGAAAATTATGGTTAAATTATGATTCCCCATTGTTTCCCTTTCTTTATTTGATTTTCTTATTTAGAATTTAAGTAGTTTCTTCATTTCATTTGGAGTTTTGTTTATATAGGAAGTTTCAATTTAGTTAAGCCTTACTTTCTTATTATATAATTCCTTGTTCTTATGATACATAATATAAGGATTTTCTAATTTCTTGTTCTAGTAACATTAGGATTAGTTTAGCATAAATAGGCTTGTTATTCTATAAACAATGATGAATGATTTTTTTTAAATAAAATTTCTTGATGATTCCTTTGTGAATTGTTTTGTCGTGGATTCGACATCTTCTTGTGCATTCGCGATTCATTGTTCGTGGATTCGAGCCACTATGCTAGAGCATATCTCGTGCCTATCCAGTTTCTATTATGCAAGTGCTTTTAAAGCAGTTTTATATGTTTGATTCAAATCCATTTTAGTGAGAATCTTTTGTTTCTTTGGCATCTGATAAAATACTAAATACTCTGAGAGATATGTGTACATATGAGTCAATGAATGTCCAGCATTTCCCAGGTTCTGATGCATGTTGGTTGAACCTTTATCAAGTTCAACATAACTAAAATTCTTTGCTTTTGGTGCTTCTTTATTGGTGGAGTGGAGAACAGAAACTGGACGCATTCTTTAGGTATTGTATAGTATATAAATTATTTAGCCTGTTTTCCCAATTATGATGTGTAATATAGTTACATGGAATTTATGTTCTCACTGTATCACTTTGTTCATTAGCGTATACTTTGCCTAGCATAGAACGGTACCGTTCTCATTCTTTTGAAGCTTACCATTGCGTGAAAGGTGAAACAATCAAAGCCCTCTGATATATTTTATTTGGCACTTCAAAAATAAGGCTGTAACGAATGATGAACTTGACGAAACAAGCTCTTCTTCTCTTCGAAAACACCCACGTTCATCTTTCATACCCTCAACTCACTCAAATCATCTCTATCAGACACAGCAAGCGCATGCTCAAATCCTCAAAACGGGAGTCTCTATGACACGGTCTCGCAACAAAGCTTCTGTCTCAAATGCAATCACCAAGACTTCGATGGCGCAAACCAAATCCTTTCTTCTTCTCTTGAGCCGACAACCTTTTCTTACTCTACTCTTATCTACGCCATACGAAACAAAATCTTTTTACTCAATCACTCCGTGTTATTCGCTCAAATGCTTTCTCACGGTTTGCACCTAATACTTACTTGTTGCCTATATCCTTAGGCTTGCACTGGATTGTTGTCATTGGAAACGGGAAAACAAGTTCATGCAATGGTGTTTGCACACGGGTTTTATTTAGATTCTTTTGTTCAGTCTCTTTGATTCATATGTACGTTCGATGTCAGAAGATGGGGGACGCTCACAAAGTGTTTGATAGATTAGCCCAACCGGATTTGAAAACTTTTAGTGCTCTGCTTGCGGTTACGCGCGACAGGTGCTTGGATCAGCGAAAAAAACTCTTTAACGAGATGGGTCTTTTAAGAGTGGAGCCCGATGTGTTTTACTTGTAATGTTGGTAACAAAAACATTAAAAATATTTAGGGGTATTTAATTGAATTAACAAATTTAGGGGGTTTAAAAAATGTTGAATAAAGTTGAATAATATTGTGAGTTTTTGGGTATTTTACTGTTTAACTTTTTTGGGAATACTAAAAGTAGTATTCCTAAAATCCAACCAAACGAAGCCCTTGAAGCTGGTCTCTGATATAGAGAGGCTTTGCCTCCATGCTTTGGTCTTGGGTAGATGATTAGGCTAAATTTCTTGCACTAACTTCTTATTTCAGTATGCGGTATGTTTTAGGATTATCATTTTATATTAGTTAGTTCATTCATCCTCACACAGGAGACACAATACATTTTTCCCGTCCCTAACCCCTCCAGATTTTGCACAGATTTTGAGCTAATTTGGGGATCCGACACCTATAATGTATTTACTGTCAATCTAACTAA